TTTGTCTCCTCAGAGTACTGGTTTGATAGAGGTGGGCAAATCAGAAACTGGCTATTTAAAGTAGGGGGAAATAAAGGCATGAAGTGGCTGGCTCACACCCTTTCTTACACTAATGGTGAATGTGATGTTAATTTTTGAAGTACAAAAAGGATAATGGCTAGAAAAGCCAGGGGGTGGTCTGTGGTGTAGTAAATTACATAGTATAACTTTTCTAGCCATAGTCTTTGTAAACTCTGTGGTGGAATTTTTTGTGAGCAACTGAGTAGCTCCTGATTGTTAAAAAAGTAGCTCCTGATTGTTATAGATATCCACCTGCTGTACTTCTGTTGGAGCACCACAAAACAATCTTCAGGGAATTTTGCTCTCTCTTAGGTGTATAGAATTCTGATGTTGGGCTTCATTACTTTTGTTATTCTGCCAGGCTTAAAATGAGCCCTCCAAAAGGCAGAAGGAGTCTCTCTGACTGCCGGCTGAGAAAGATGTGCTGCTGAGAGAGACACGCTGCTGAGAAAGAGAGATGCAAGAGACATGCACTGCTGAGAGAGAGACGTGCTACTGAGAGAGACTGAGAGAGACAGCTGGCTGCAAGAGACTGAGCACATTCCTGAACTTGAGTTGTAGCCTGTTGCTTCCCTAATAAACCCCATAATCTGTGAGTTCTGTGTGGCCACTGAAGCGAATTACTGAACCCAGCAGAGAGGTGGTGGGTGCTCTGGGAGGAACGGTTGGTATCAAGGTTAGTAAGAGAGTTGGAGAGTGGCAGCATGTTTGCCCTGATAAGAACAGGCCTTGAGCTGCTGATGGTGATTCTGTCTTTCTCTTGTGAAGTTAGAGGAAGTTCAGAAGATGCCGCCTCCTTGCCCTTTAGCACCAGGTGATAAGATAAACATCAACAATGATAAACCATATTGATAGTATAAACCTTTAAAATGATGGAATGAGAATGGTACTTTACTTATGTGATCTTCCTCTCAAAGACAAATTACCCTAGACTAACCTTGAGAAACATATCAGAGAAAGCCCAATTGAAGGCCAGTCTACAAAATATCTGGCCAGTAATTTTCAAAACTGTTAAGGTCATCTCAGGTAAAGTAAGTCTGAGAAACCATCACATCCCAGGGGAGCCTAAGGAAACATGATGACTAAATATAAGATGGTATCCTGGAATGGAATCCTGGAACAGAGAAAGGACATTAGGGGAAAACTAAGGAAATCTGAAAAAAGTATGCTGTCATTAAGTACCACAGGTTGCTTTTGACTCATGCTCTGACCCCACGTAACAGAACAGAACTGCTCCACAGGGTTTTCTAGGCTATAATCTTTTCAGGAGCAGATCACCAGGTCATTCTCCCAAGGAAGCAAAGGTGGCCAGGTGGGTATAAATCACCATCCTTTTAGTTAACAACTGCATAATCCTTTCACCATCAGGGCTCTTTTGAATAAAGTATAGACTTTAGTGAATAATAATGGATCAATATTGGTTCATTAATTGTGACAAATGTACCATATAAACATAAGATGCTAATTAATAGAGAAAACTAGGTATGGGATATTCTGAAATTCTCTTTACTGTCTTCACAACAATTCTGTAAATTTTCCATTAAAAAAAAGGGGGTATAATAAAAAGTTATTAAGGAAAAATCTACTAGGAAAGCTTTCAGATGTGCTCCATGCCAAATGCAATCAAGACTCAACTCATAAACATGAGATTAAATATGTTAACTTTGTCCTTAACTATAATACTGCACTGTGCCTGGAGCTTTACAGAAATTATCTTTGCTCTTTGTAACAAACATAAATGTTTGGTCATCTTATAAATAAACTGAGGATAGATCCATTTATATAATACATTTAAACCTGTATCTTGAATCCAAGTTTGTTTTCCATAAAAAGTTGTAAGATCCTTAAAATTGTCATCAAGTCGATTCCGACTCATAATGATTCCTATTGGGTTTTCAAGGCGGTAAATCTTTACGGAAGTAGATTGTCCAGTCTTCCTTTCATGGAGTGGCTAGTGGGTTTGAACCGCCTATCTTCTGGTTAACAGTCAAATGCCTTAGATACTGTGTCACCAGAGCTCCTTATTTGAAGTGGGTAGAAGGCATTAAAAGCCTTGGTATTATTTTACTTGATAAGGAGATTGCACGCCTATGTAAAGACATGAAAGGACAGTCATGTCACCAGGACACCTATGATAACTGTACTTCTAGTCACAACTCTCCTCTGCCAACTCTTGTTATTCCCTGATAATCTAAATATTTTATTTTATTAAAAACTTAACTTTTTAAACAGTAGCATTCATAAAAAAATTAATGGACTATTACCAGAATTAATCAATCCTCTACCATTACCAATTAATTTAATAATTCAAAACAAGGGTAAAGAAATAGAATAAGAATATAAGAAAATAAAGGAATTTTGGTCAATTACATGAGACAAAGTATATGTGAACTGCTGTATGAAAAGTGAATTTACTCTGTAAATCTTCACCCAAATCCTAATAAAAAAAAAAAAAGAAAAGAAAAGAAAGGAAACATTAGATAGTGAATCTCTGTAAAGTTACAAAAAGTGGTCAGATAAAAATTCAACCCCATCTTCACTTTATATTTTAATTAACTTTTGTGGTTGAAGAAGGAATGATACATATCATTTTTTTAAAAAAGTACAAAAGCCAAAGACTTTTTATTCTTTGTAATTAATACAAAGAACTAATAGAGACCACATGAACCAGGGTAGCCTCTACTACCCTGAGACCAGAAGAATTACATGGTTCCCCGCTACTACAACTGACTGTCATCTGTGATCAAGATCACAGTAGAAAGTCCCAGAGTGGAAGAAAATGTAGAACAAAATGCAAAATCATAAAAAAGACCAGAGACACTGGTCTGGTAGTGATTGGTAAAGCCCCCCTCCCCCAAAGACTATGGTCCTTAGACATCATCCAAGCTTGAAACTGAACCTACCTCTGGAGATCAACTTTCAGCCAAACAATACACAGACGTATAAAGTGAATAATAATACCTATGAGGAAAGCACTTCTCAGGTCAATCAAACATACCCAAAATGGCAGCATTTCCCAAAAAACAAAGCTCAGAAGGCAGGAAAGAAGGACTAATGGAAACAGAGAACCCAGGGAGGAAGTGGGAAGGATACTGTTACATTAAGGAGATTGCAATTAATGTCACAATACAAAAAATGTACGAGTTGTTGAATAAAAACTAAACTTTCCATAAACTTTCACTGTAACCACAATAAATAAATATAATAGTATAAAAGAGATACAATGAAACATGAATTTCTTTCCTACTCCTGATACCCAAGTATTCCAGTTCCCTCTCACCAGAGGCAACTAGCGTTTATTTCATTTGTATTATTCCAGGGCATGTGCGCGCGCGCACACACACACACACACACACACATATATATACATATATATATCTATGTATCTATATCTATATATACACATACATAAAATCAAAAACCAAACCCGCTGCTGTCAAGTTGATTCTGACTCATAGTGGATCCTATGGGCAGAACTGCCCCATAGGGTTTCCAAGGCTATAAAAGTTTATGAAGCAGACTGTCACATTTTTCTCTCCTAGTGCTGCTGGTGGGTTTGAACTGCCAACCTTTCTATTAGTAACAAAGCTCTTAACCAATGTGCCACCAGGGCACTATATACACTGTTGTTGTTGTTATGTGCCGTGGAGTCAGACCTGACTCATAACAAACCCTCCCTTGGATTTCTGAGGCAGTATCACTATGGAAGTAGATTGCCCCATCTTCCTTCCTTCTGAGTGGCTATATACACTATACACACACAAATACATTCATATATATATATGTGTGTGTGTGTGTGTGTATATATATATATACACATATATATACACACACACACATATATATATTTGTGTATATGTATATGTGTATATATATCTATATGTGTGTGTGTATACATATCTTTTCCCTTGTTTATTTAAATGACAACACACGATATATATTATTGTTGTTGTTGTTGTTATTTGCCATCGAGTCGGACCCGACTCATAGCAACCCCTCCTTGAGTTTCCGAGGCGGTATCACTATGGACGTAGATTGCCCAACCTTTTTTCCGAGGAGTGGCTGGCAGGTTTGAACCACCAGCCTTCTGGTTAGCAGTCAAGTGCCTTAGCCACTATGCTACCAGAGCGCCTATGATATGTATTAGACCCTGCTTTTTTTTTTTTAAATACTGGAGACCGTCCAATATTAGCATAAAATATTTACCTCATTTATTTTAATGGTTTCATAATGTCCCAATGTTTGGATATATCTTAATTTATTGTAAATATAGGCTGGTCCAATTTGTGTGAAATTAGTGCTAATATGAAGAAAAATGACACTTGAAAAAAGTGTCAAGTGTTGCAGGAGCCAAACCCAGCATCAGCAAGAGCTCCTCCAACACCAAAGAATTATAAGCAATTGGTATCACAGTTGAACATTACTTAATCAATTACTTAATCATTACTTAATAAAATTGTCCTAATAGATTGAGCCTCAAGCAAGACAAGTTATATATATATATATATATATATATATATATATATATATCTTGCTTAACTTTATATGTTTGCCTGGAATTGTCATACATCAATACAGATCCATAAGAAATCAGAAATGATGCTAATGAAAAATTAACTATGCATATTGCTTGATAATAACTTGCTACCCTATTCTATCTGAGGACAAGCCCAGTTTCAAAGACTATTTAGAATAGGACTGGTCTACTTTTTCTCAGTTCTATATATTGCTTCTCGCTTACTTTTTCTCTCTGCTGTTGATAGCAAGAGAAAATATAATTTATCAATAGGCTGCTTTAGGGAAGCAATGTTTTCAAAGACTAGAGTGACCAAATTATTTCAATACTCAAATATATAAAGCTAGCTGCAAACTAATGAGCTTAATAAAATAGCATTGTATGCAAATCTAAGTGTTGGCTTGCTAAGCCCAGTCTTTTTTACCAGGATAAAGTGGCCAAAGACATTGGTTGCAAACACTTCCTGAAGCCCATCGGCAGTGACCTTGTCTTCCTGGGTCAGCAGTCCTTCAGCTGTGGAGAACACATGAACCACTTTTCTGAAAGAGCAGAAGACAATGTATGACATTTTTGAAGCTTCTCTAACTGAATATATCAGAGACTCTCTTCCTCCAAAGAAACGTTACACTTTGATCCTATAATGACAAGATTAAAATACAGGCTATACTCATTATTCCCAAATGCCATACCTGCCAAAGCACCTACTCGCTAAATTATTTGTAACCCCCAAATGAATACTTAGGGTGTTTTCATGGTCATTCACGGGCATGCATAAGTGCAGAGTAGCAAAATTTCTGAGTCATCAGTGTGCACATTCCCAGCTGAGCCAAATACAACTGGTTTGGTACCTGCTAATTCAGTGTTCACAGGGACATTACAGAACTAACTACCATAAGAGAATGGACTATGCTTATTATTCAGGCTTGGTTTTTGTGAGCATTATAAAATATGTAATTATTATGTCTCAACACACTGCTTAGCATTTCATAGGTGCTTAAGAAATGCCTTCCTTTCTCCAGTTCGCAGAAGTACTTTCTTCCCTCCAGCTCAGAGTGCCAACAGAAGCCTGAGTCCTCAAAAATCTGCTGCTAAAACTCTTTTAATCTCCTTCCAAATCAGTCTACAGGTATTATTCTGAGGGAATAATAGCTATGCCAAGGAGAAAAAGTCTTTGCCTATACAGACGGATAACCAAAATTGAACATTTTTTTTTTTTTTTACTGGGAGTTTTTGAAGCATCTAACATATTGATGCACTATTTTGCTATAAGATCAAACAGACATATTGAGACCATTGGGCTCTTTTTGTTTTGTTTTTATGGTAGAGAAGAAAAGCGCACACAAAAAAAACTTAACTGCAGTGAAGTAGGATACAAAAACAATAAGAATCTCTCTTCATGAGAAGTGTATTCAGTTGTAAATAAAATTTATTTCTTACTGTGGGTTGCGGTTAACATTTTTCTTCCAGGAAGATATTTAGTTCTCTGTATTTCCCCAACCTACTGGTCAGAGCACCAAACACACAGCTGGGAAGTTTTATCTGAAATAGTCTTCCTGGGTTTCACTGAAAACTCTCCCTAACTATGAAATGCTCTTATTATTGGAGACATTCAGGCAGGCTAAAAACTGACCTGAAAAATATAACTACTTAGAATGTCCCAGAAACCTAGAACATCATAACATCATAAGAGCCATGATTTGTAGCATTCCCCACAAGATGCTTTTCTTTCATGACATGGCAGCAACATCTCCTTTCTCTGTCTTCATCCTTCTCAACACCTTCAACTTTCATCCTCCAAACTCAATAGACCAAGGGAAAACTAGCAAGAACACTGAAGACTTTCCTCCTAACCAGTTCATCTATAAAACAGAAGTTACCTTGAAAAGACACCAGACAAAAGTGCTCTGATATTCAGCTGTGGATTAGGCATGATTCCAGCATTTAGATACACATAGTCTAATCTCTGAAACCTGCAAGAAAAACACCAAGATAAGAATGTGAGTATCTCTAGAATGACTAGAATAAATAAGGCCTATGAAAGGACAGAAAATACTTTCTTAACCAAAAAGATGGTGAGAGCAAGTAAAAAGAGATACGTAACACATCATGGTTACATACTACTTATTTCTCAACTGTTTTTCTTTAGTCAGGGTAAATATTTGAGCATTGTATTTATGTTTTTAAGGATGGCTTCAAACAGAATGTGGGGTGCCATAATAGCCTCTGAAGTCAAGTCTTCTCCAGTCAATACTTCCAGTTCTAGCCTCTATATTAGGTACTATGACTACTCTCCTGTTAAACTTGCTCTCTTTCTGGTCTTAGCAAAATTTTTTTTCTTTTAATTCAAAGTTGAAAATAAAGTTTGTATAATATTCATCTGGTCTTATCTTTTAATACTGGAACTTGAATGCCAAGAGATCTACTAAAGCAGGAGATCTATATGGAAACCTTCAGTGCTCATGGTCAGGGGCTATGTATCATAAAATGATGAAAACTCACAAGCAGTAAGATTCAAGAGCTGAATGGGGTAAGGTACTCTTGGTAGTACCTTGTCATGCCACTAGTCATGGGGGGAATTATAAACTGCTTACTTGAGAGCACTTTTTCATTTTTAAACCTATATAAGCCTTAATCTATGTGTACCCTTTTAAACTGGGCCCAAGATAGGAACAGCCTGCTGTCATGACACTCTCCGATACCAAGATGATTCAGAGTATCTCCTAGAAGTTTATGTACCACGCTGGTCTCTGTGTCCTCTTATTACCCAAAATAATAGGGACAATAGCTACTAATCAGGAGCTTTGAAATACATACCCTGTGATAGGTAGGGCGTGTGTCAACTTGATTGGATCATGATTCTAAGTAGTTTAAGTAAGTGTGATGTAGTCATCTCCTATGATGAAATATATGCTATAAGGAGCTAATCAGATGAAAGGGAGTTTCCTCAGTGGTGTGCCCTGCCTCCAATATACATATAGATGTCCTGGGAAAATGCTCTGGCTTTCTGCTGGATTGTGGTCCTGTATCTAGCTCATAATCTCCAGAACTGATCAGTGGCCTGCTGCACTGCCTGCCAATCTTGGGATTGTTGCTTTCTAGCCTGTAAGCCAACAATCTGCCATTTTATCTGCTGATCTTGGATTCATCATCTCCCGAAGCCAGCAACCTGTTATACTAACCTGCCTATCTTGAGTTCATCAGTCGCTGCAGCTGCATGAGACAAGAAAAGCCTTCAGTTTGACATCTGATCCACAAACCTGGGATTTCTCAGCCTCTACAACTCTGTGAGTCATTTCCTTGAGATAAATTTATACATGCACACACATACACATACACACACACACGCTTCACTGGTTTTGCTTCTCTAGAGAATCTAGCCTAAGACACCAATACAGATCACATACACATTTATTGATCATCCTATAAATAATTTACAGCCAGATGACTGTAACTACAAAATATAGTGTTTAAAACATTGATACTGACATCATCAGGTCATCTGTGTTAGTGCTATCATGGGTCCATCCATTCTTGGTTGTTCTATTATCAAATTTACAAACTTTCATTTAAGAATATTAACTTATTTTGTTAGGAACGGAAAGGAAATGCTTAGCAAAGAGTGAAAGTTGCACTAGAACACCAAATTAAGGTCTGGCTTCAATGAAATAACATACTTAAACCTACTGCCATTGAGTGGATTCTGACTTACAGTCACCCTTTTTGAAATATTTTCATAGTTAATATTTTAAATATTACTACTCTCAAACATTAAATAGTTGACACAATTGCTCCATTTTGGATAAAACAGAACCACTGTTTTGTATTATTTTTTATTTGCACATATATGACAGAACTGAAGGAGCACTCGTGGCACAGTGGATAAAGTGCTCAGCTGCTACGGAAAAGTTTGGTGGTTCAAACCCACCAGCTGCACCACAGGAGAAAGATGTAGCAGCCTGCTTCTGTAAAGATTTACAGCCTTGGAAATTCCATGGAGCAGTTTACTTTATCCTATAGGGTCACTATGAGTCAGAATTGACTCAGTGACAGTGAGTTAACAGAATTGAGGGGTCTTTGGGTGATGCAAATGGTTAACATGATCAGCTACTAACCAAAAGGTTGGCAGTTTGAGTTCACCCAAAGGTGCCTCAAAAAAAAAAGGCTTGGTGATCTACTTCTGAAGAATCAACCACTGAAAACTCTATGGGGCACAGTTCTATTCTGACACACATGGGGTTATCAGAAGTCAGAGCTGACCCAAGGACAACTGGTTTGGTTTTTTAACAGAACAGAGTATTATAAATAGAAAGACTAAGTGTGAGGGAAGGTGCTGCTCTGGCCACCTGGAGGCTCTCTCCTAACCCTAATTTACTTCCTAGCCCAAGGATATCCATTTGGGCTATGAAGCACGGTACAGCCATGACATAAGCAAGGGATCTATCTGGACACACTTACAAATTCCCAAGTTTGTTGACTATCACTATAGCCACCATCACCCATATTTGGATAATACCAACTATCTCAAAGAAAGCTGTTTTGGAGATTAAATAAATTCAGCAAACCTTCGCTGAAATACTGACTGCTGGGACAACTCACTACCGTACCATTTCCCTTCTATCCACCAGCCTCACTGGCTTAAATCCATGCTACATAAAAATGCTAACTTGCCATATCAAACCTTTGAGAGTAAAAATGTTAAAACTTAAAATCTCATAAGTCAAACGTATTGGAATAGGTATTGTAGTGCCTAAGGCATCTGACTGCTAACCAGAACGCTGGCAGTTCAAACCCACCAGTCACTCCTTGGAAGGAAGATTGGGCAATCTACTTCCATCATGATACCGCCTTGGAAACCCAAGAGGGTTGCTACGAGTCAGATCTGACTCCATGGCAGTGAGTTATTATTAATTGAGGATGAAGATTCTTTTCTTTTAATAAGAAACTATAACTAAATGTATACGAAACAGGTAAGATGCCCAGCTAGCTAAGAAGGTTTGGGGAAAGAATGCCTGCTAGTATGACTTGAAGCTCATAACTTCTCTCTCGACTTTATGGTTCTTAACCCTGTAATGACATTTTCTGAGCAGTTTCGCAGGCTGGTTGTTGTTGTTGTTGTTATGTGCCGTTGAGTCAGACCCGACTCATAGCGACCCACCCTTGGGGGGTATCACTATGGAAGTAGATTGCCCCATCTTCCTTCCAAGGAGTAGCTGGTGGGTTTGAACCGCCAGCTTTCTGCTTAGCAGTCAAGTGCCTTAGGCACTATGCTACCAGAGCTCCTAGTGGCTCAGCGCCTAAGGTGTTTGCCTGCAAACCAGAAGTTTGGTGGTTCAAACCCACCAGCCACTCTGCTGAAGGAAGACAGGGCAATCTACTACTTCTTCACAGGCTTGGGAACTGTGATTTATGGTGGGGTAGGGAATGTAGAACACACCACAATTTATATCAAACTAGAACCTAGAAAATCTCCTGTTTCAGAAAGATGATATGGCAGAAAACTCTAGGAGCTCAGCAGTACAGGAGACAGAAACCACATCCCCAAAGGGCTAAGGATACAAGATGAGCTGGGATGAAAAAAGTCAGTTTTTGCCTTTGCTTTACAACTTATAAATTTGGAATAGTGAGATGCAAATGACTGTATTAGTTAATATAAGAAAAATGCAGACAAAGTATTCTTCAGTGCTCAAATACTTTCTTTTCGAAGGATCAATACTAAGCTGATCCCTAGGAAATGGAGGTTAAAGAAGTCCCAGATGTCCAACTTTTCCAAACTGCTGTGCCACTCCATCATCTCTAACATCAACTCCTCCTCCTCCCCTCAGTACTTGCCCTTCCATCTCAGGGTTCTATATTTCACTGTAACATCTCACATAACTTAGGAACTTCCAAGGAAATGGCTCACACAGTTGTGGAGGCTGTCAAGTTCCAAATCCGTGGGTCAGGTGTTGGTCTGGAGGAGTCTCCTAACATAGTTGTAGGGGCTGATGAACCCAAATTGGCAGGTCACATGATTGGCTGCTGTGTCAAGCCCCATGACCTGAGGGCAAGATGATGACAAACCAGATGCAGGATCCAGAATAAGACAGTGAACAACTTTGCCAGAGCATTTACATATACACCCTTAATGAAATTAAGGGTGGTGACTTGAGTCACACCTTCCAGTGGGGCAAGACTCAGATATATCCTATGCAACAGACCTGGGCTCTAGAAACAACCCAGTCAATCTATCCAACCCAATCAATACAAAGTCGGATGGCCTCCTTAGGCAAATTTCTCTATCTCAATCTCAGTTTCTTCACTTGATAAATGTCAGTACCTGTCAAATCTACATAATGAAGTTTTTATATGGAGGAAAGATGCTAAAACTGCATTGAGATATCAAAAGAATTACATCAGGGTCACATAGGAATGTATTCAAATACTAGAGAAATTTGAGGAATAATCTGGACCATGATCAACAATGTCATACTGAGAAGTAATGGGGTCATTCTATACAGATTTCCTCAGCATAACTTCTTACACTGTACCTATTCCTTTTTAGGATTTCCTATCTTTTCTTATTTTTTTAAATGTTACGTTATACAATCACATGAGAGAAAACCCATCAACAAGAAGTGTACCTTTGTTTGAGCTCCTTGGAGGCCCGGAACACGGACTGCAGGTTGCTAACATCTACCTGCACAATGGTGACCTCGGCTGTGGGGTGAGAGGTCAGCAGATCAGCTTGGACGGCTTCAGCTTTGCTCATGTTCCTGCACGCCAAACACAGGTGAAGCACATCGTCTTCTGCTAGTAACCTCTTGCAGAGGGCTAGACCGATGCCACTGAAAAGGACAATTCAGACATAGAATATGTGTGATTTGGGATGGATTCAGGTAGAAGCATTTCTCTATTGTTCAGAAAATTAATTCTAACACTTATAGTTCCAATCAGGCACTCAGCCAGACAGAAAAGACTCAAAAATTATAAAAGGGAGAGAGGATCCCCATATCCTAACAGTCACTTGATCAGAACACTGGCCAATTTGTTATTTCTCCCATTCTGCAGAAGCTCAGTGACACAATAACTGGACTACAAATAAGAGTTGTCCTTTACCATTTCTATTAATACAGTTTATCCTGCCACTGGTTTTCATTTTGCACTCATTATATTACTCATGATAGTGATTCCATATTATCACCAGCAAGTGTTGAACATCTTAAGTGTTGCTTCCTGTGTGCATGCTTTACTTTACTGTCTAAGTTCTTCAAGTACAAGGAGTCTTTCACCTATTGGCCACTATCAGGAGCACCAGAAATCCCTGATAAATGAATGGATGAATCTTTCAGGAAAAGGCATCAGTAACATGGCAAGAGGTACAAGCCTCTCTCAACTCTATGATCAAATAACCAATATGATGTGAAAGAAGAATTCAACATGATTAAGTACAAGGTAGAAAGACAGGAAATATAATGTGAAACCAAGAAAGCCACACAGGGATGAGTACACAGCTAAAACACAAACTACAAAGCTCAGAGGGCAGGAATGCATAGAAAAGAAGGGCACAGGGAAAAGGTAATCACAGGGAGGAAATGAGACGAGAGCTATTATTACATTGTGGAGATTACAATCAACGTCACAAAACAAAATATGTATGAACTGTTGAATGGAAAATGAATTTGCTCTGTAAAGTTTCACCCAAATCACAATAAAAAGTTTTAAAAAAGAAGACTGAAACTGCACCGTAGTTGGCTTATAGCAATGAAAGCCTGAGTAAAGTATTTTCTTCCAAGATTAAAGCTGATTTCAGACAAAAAGACAGAAGCCCCAAAAGTGCCTGCACTATCAATAATCCAAAAACGAACAAGAAAGATGCCTTAGTGCTAAGCAAGTGACATCTGTTTCCACCTCCAAAAGAGGAGTTGCATCACATGCAGAAAGCAAAGACTATAATACTCTCTGCAATCAGGAGCAGCAGCCCTAGGTTGTCAACCCACTCCATGGTTTGCACAAGTCACAGGGGCAATAGATGGAACAACACTTTACTCATATAGAGAAGAGAAAGAGCACAATCAGCTTCAATAGTGGGTACTGGTCCCCTCTGGCCACCAAGTCTCACTTCACAGAACACACAGAGATGGCCTACACACACTCTCTTGTGTTGAAGATGGATCCCATTCCTCCATGGCTGAGAATAGATACAGCAGTGGGGCTGACCACATGCCGTATACCTCAACACTTAGCTAAGCAGTTCCTGAAAATGATGACATGTGCTCAGGACAATGCAAAAGGATGCACTATCAGACCACTATCTGCCCCAGTAAAAGGAGTCTGGACATATTCACATCCCACTTAAGAAACTAGGCCAACACATCTGGTCCTAAGTACAAGGTTCACTCGGAAAGGCAACAAGCTGCATTCAGACTGCCCCATTCCACATTTAGGAAGTTAACTCTGCCAACAGAGCTTCAAATGAACGTATGTTTTATTCATTCTCCCTTGAGAATAGCAGGCCTTGATATAAATATACAATTGCACACATCATAGTGTATATAAAAGAAACACACAAAAGCTATCATGACTTATTTAAACATAACTTGTTTAAACACAGAAAGTACCACATCAGTTGTTAAAATCTCTCAGGAGAGGGCACACTCAAAGCACTGCCAATCGAAGGCACCTACCAAGCTGGCTTAGTTAATACAGACGTGGTTAAAGCAGAAGATAGGCCTGGCTATCTGCTTCTGAAAGGACACAGCCTTGAAAACCCTATGGAGCAGTTTTACTCTGCACACCTGGGGTCACCATGTATCAGAATCAAGTTCTTGGCAACTAACAACTGATAATGGACGTACACCCATTTTAAATAGCTTGTAACATACCCTCTGTCTTAACTCCTCAAAAACTACAAATATAACAAGCAGTTTCATCCTCCACACATCTGTCATGGAAGAGCAAATGAGAAGTAAACAGCCAAAAGTAGAGAGTGAGTATCCATATAATCAACCCTGGAATAATTACTACCTGGCAATAAACTAGTTGCAAAACCTACCATACCTCAGCAGAAAAAGTAACTTTTTTCTGGGTTTCTGAAGATTATATCCTAGGTGTCTAGCACTGTGCTAGATGCAATGAGATTTTTTTTTTCCTTCTCCCACCCCCTCCTCTTAATGTTCCAGGATGTTGAAATTTGCCCAGGGGTGAGAATTCTGCACAGATTGAAACACCTGGCGTGCAAGACCAGACTGACTAGAAGTTTTGGACTGAACTAAAGACCCTAAAAGTAAATACGGACGAGGATAGCAAAGGTGAAATGGGGCAGGGTCGGCCTGGTAAAGTCCTTTTCCTTTGAGCATATTTTTCCTTTCCATAGTAACGTTTCGGAAGGAAGATGGGGCAATCTACTTCCATAGTGATGTTGTTGTTATTGTTGTGTGCCATCGAATCGGACCCGACTCATAGCGACCCCTCCTTGGGTTTCCGAGGCAGTGTCACTACGGAAGTAGATTGCCCCATCTTCCTTCTGAGGAGTGGCTGGTGGGTTTGAACCACCAGCCTTCTGGTTAGCAGTCAAGTGCCTTAGGCACTATGCCACCAGAGCTCCATAGTGATACTGCCTGTTGTTGTTATGTGCCGTCGAGTCATACCTGACTCATAGCGACCCCTCCTTGGGTTTCCGAGGCAGTATCACTACGGAAGTAGGATTGCCCAACCTTCCTTCCAAACAACATAGTGACGTTTAATTCAAAGCACCCGTTACTGGGTACTTCAAAAGGACGCCACGTCCTGCACCTAGCGCAGTGGGCTTTCCAGAGAAGTGCCAGGCACGATCTTGGTCCGAGTGCCCACCGACGGAAGCTCGACCGCGGGCGATACCGGGATCAGTCCACGACAGATCGCCTTGGCCCAACCCCCAGCTCCCTAGGAACCCACTGCCGCCTCCGCTAACCGCTAACCGGAGGAAGAGCTCACCTGCTCGCCCCCGTGACCAAAACCACCTTCCGCATGACCTTACACTCGAACTCAAAGCAATAAAGCAGAAACCAACCTAAGTTTGTTCCAAAGCCTTAAACCTGGCTCCGGGCGCAAGCCGCGCCCATGCTCTCTGTGCTCCAATCCGTGCCCAGTAAGGCCCCGCCCCCTTGCGTGACCGACTCTGCGCCCCGCCCTCCAAGCCCTTCTTGGTCCTTGAGCAGAGCCTTGCCCGGGCATGGTGGACTGAGATAGGCCGAGAGGCGGAGCCGCGTGACGCAGGGGCCCTAGCCAATCCTTGCTTCCCTCGCCCTGACAGAGCACCAGTGTCCAACCCAAAGAGAGAGCTGCGCTGCCCGCGCATGCGTTTGTCTAAGTGGGCGTGCTCTCGGCAGGGCTCTCAGGTCTTGGTTTCTTGGGGCACAGGGCGTCCGTACCGTGGCGCCTCTGGGTGGCGCTTTATTGCAGGTAGTCCAGTGAGTATTTGCACCAAAGTTCTGTATTTTTAAGAAAATATATGGATTTAGGAACTTAAAGTTTTACGATTATTATCTACTGACTTTTCCCTTCTTTTCGGATGTGTAGATCGAGGCACTGTGCCATTTTTCTCCTTTGTAAAGAATAGTCTTAGGGAGGATAAGCATTGATTTTATTAGGAAATGTAGGAAGACTCATATATTAATTACCAGTCTGCAAAACGTGGAGTACAGCATGGAGTCAGAGAATCTCAGAATAGGACGGTATGGGTCGTGAACTGTCTCAAACTCTCTGTGGTAAATGACCCATTTGGTTTTCCAAACCATCCCGGACAAGTACTTTTGGAAAATGCAGTGAAAATGAATTACTAGGAAAAGTAAAACTGAAATGCAAAAGACATATATACATACAAGCCCTAATTTTTATTATTAAATTCAACACATAAAATTACTCTGTCAAACGGCTATGAAAGTTTCTAATGTTTACTCTAGATTTCTGTACTTATTATGGACTGATAACAGGACCATCACCAATCCCAGTCTACAGTTTTGAGTAAAACTGCAAGTCATACACCAGACTATTGAACATATTTTAATCTATTTCATGGCCTCACAAAGTTTTAAATATTTATGAATAGCAGTGATCCCTGAAAGATAATCTGTTCTGAAGTTTGAATAACCTGTAAGTTCTCACTCATCTGATATCAACTAGCTTAGTAAGATTTGTCTTATACCAATAAAATTATAAATAAATGTAAATATTTATATAAATAAAATCTCATTTGAGCATTGTTGTTGGGTGTTGTGGGGTCAGTTCTGAGTCATAGTAGCGCATGTGACAAATTAGAACTGTGTCATAGAGTTTTCTTGGTTGTAATCTTTACTGAAGCAGATTACCATCCATGTCTTTCTCCAGTGCCTCTAGGGAGGTTCAGAATTGCTAACCTTTCGGTTAGCAGACAAGCACTCAACTATTGTGCCACTTGTTGTAGTTAGGTGCTGTGGAGTGTGCTCAGGCTCATAGTGACCCCATGTGCAGCAGAACAAAACACTGCCCCCATCCTGCGCCATCCTCACAATCCTTGCTATGCTTCAGCTCGTCATTGCAGCCACTGTGTCGATCCATCTTGTTGAGGGTCTTCCCCTTTTTTGCTGACCCTCTACTTTACCAAGCTTGAGATCCTTCTCTGGGACTGGTCCCTGCTGACAACATGACTAAAGTAGGTGAGACAGAGTCTGGTCATTCTCACTTCTAAGGAGCTGCATTTCGATTGCACTTCTACCAGGACATATTTGTTTGTTCCTCTGGCAGTCCATGGTATTTTCAGTACTCTCTGCCAGTACTTCAATTCAAATATATCAATTCTTCAATCTTCCTTATTCATTGCCCAGATTTCTCATACATATGAGACCATTGAAAACACCATGCTTGGGTTAGGAACACCGTAGTCTACAAAGAAACATCTTTGCTTTTCAACACTTTAAAGAGGTCTTTTGCAGCAGATTTGCCCACTGCAATATGGGGTCTGATTTCTTGACTGCTACTTCTGTGGGTGTTGATTGTGAATCCAAGTAAAATGAAATTCCTAGCAATTTCAATCTTTTCTCCATTTATCATGATGTTGCTTATTGGTCCAGTTGTGGAGATTTTTGTTTTCTTGATGTGTAATCTATACTGCGGACTGTAGTCTGATCTTCATCAGTAAGTGCTTCGAGTTTGTTTTCACTTTCACCAAGCAAGGTTGTATCATATGCATGTTACAGGTTGTTAATGAGTGTTCCTTCAGTCCTGATGCCATGTTCTTCATAAAGTCGAGCTTTTCAGCTTATTTGTTCAACATACAGATTGAATAAAGTGAAAAGACAAAATCCTAATGCACATCCTTCCTGATTTTAAACAATGCAGTGTCCCCTTATTTGGTTCAAACCACAGCCTCTTAGTCTGTGTACCTCATGACCACAATTAAGTGTTGTGGAATTGCCATTCTTTACAATGTTATTCATAATTTGTTATGATCCACACAAATGCCTTTCCATAGTCAATAAAACACAGGTTTTATGATGAAAATCTTTCTGGTATTCGCTTTCAGCCAAGATCCATCTGACATCAGTAATGATATCCCTCATTCCACCTCCTCTTCTGAATCCAGCTTGAATTTCTGGAAGTTCTCTGTCAATGTACTGCTATAATCATTTTTGAGTTATCTTCAGAAAAATTTAATTTTGTGTGAAATTATCATTGTTTGATAATTTTCACATTCTGTGGATTACCTTTCTTTGGAATGGGCAGAAATATGGATCTCTTCTAGTCAGTTAGCCTAGTAGCTATCTTTCAAATTTCTTGGCAAATTATGCTACTTAGAACACTTTCTCTGAACATTAGATTCCTAGATAAGCAAACATTCTTTATAATTTGGGTGGGATTCAGCTCCTACCATTATCCTACTTACAATTATTCTAAAAAAGTAAATACTTTAAAGTTTCCAGTTAAATGAATTCTAACTCATGGTGATCCCATGTGTTTCAGAGTAGAACTGCATAGAACTGCATTCTGTAGGGTTTTCAATGGCTGGTTTTTCAGAATTAGATTGCCAGACCTTTCTTCTAAGGCCCTTCTGGGTGGACTTGCACCTCCAACCTTTTGGTTAGTAGCCAAGCACTTAACCATTTGCACTACCCAGGGACCACTCCACACACACACTGCCCATTGTTGTATGTCATCGAGTTGATTCCAACTCATAGGGCCCTTATAAGGACAAACTAGAACTATCTCCCAGGGTTCCTTCGGCTGTAATCTTTAAGGGAGGAGATCATCAGGTCAATTTCTCCCACAGTGCTGCTGATGGGTTAAAACTGCCAACCTTGTGTTAGCAGTCAAGATCTGTAACCATTGCATCACTAGGGCTCTTCCCATTGCCAATAGCCCCATTCATATTCTTACTAGGTTCACTTCTCTTTTCTCCCTGTTTATTTTGTCCCTCCTTCGCCCCCATCCCCATTCCTATCACACAGCTACTTGAATCCCTGGCCTTTAGTCCTGGAATCAAACCATAAACAGTGGAGGTCAGAATGTGCATTCATGAATCCCCTGGTTATTCTGGGAAAATCTCTTCCCTTACTCATCACTGTCAAAGCTGAAAAATTTATGTTTATATTTCTCAGAAAACTAAAAACATAACAGTTATTCTTCAGAGAATAGGTAAGAAACATGTTTTAATCCTCATTTCTATTATGAAGATATTCTATATTCTGGTTGGCCATAATTTTTATTGCTTTGTGTATATACATGGGCAATATGAGATGGACCATATTTCAATTGAAGGAGTTTCTGTGCATCAAATAAGACATCTCTGTAATAGCAATAATAATAAAGGATCCCCAATTAATTCTGGACTGGATTTCCTATAACTGGATTAATATAAAGACATAAAACCCCAGTCTATAGTGTATTTGGGTATATTAAAGACCAAGATGCTTTCTTTTTAATAAACAATAAACTAATATGTGAGTTTTTGTTAGGTTCCCTCAAATTGATTCTGACTCATAGTGACCCCATGTGTTATAGAGTAGAACTGCCTCACAGAGTTTTCTAGGCTGTAATCTTTATGGGAGGAGATCCTCAGGTCTTTATCCATGGAACCACTGGGTGCGCTCAAACCTCCATCCTTTTGGTTAGCAGTTGAGGCTAACCATTGCACCATCAGGCCTCATTCTAGGGCTCCTAGGCCTATGTAAATAGTCCACTGTTGCCAAGAAACAGGCCGACACACACACGTATTATCTCCACTGACCCCCATCCTTCAATGTTGTTGTTGTTATGTGACCTCAAGTCGAACCTGACTCATAGCGACCCCTCCTTGGGTTTCTGAGGTGGTATCACTACGGAGAGGTAGATTGCCCAACCTTCCTTTCGAGGAGTGGCTCGTGAGTTTGAACCACCAGCCCTCTGGTTAGCAGTCAACTGCCTTAGGCATTACACTACCAGAGCTCCTATCCTTCAATAAGGGTGACAAATTCTAGAACTAGTGCTATTTGTACAGAAAGAAGCCATCCATCAGTAGCATGTTTTTCTTTTTTTAATCATTATTATTTACAATTTATCATCTGACAGATAGACTTAAAAAGAATAAATAAAGAAAAGAAAATGTACAATTAGTATCACGTTTCTTTTTCTAATACATAAAATTTTTATGTATTCTATTTTGAAATGACTACAATAGCTTTAAGCAGAAATTAAATCAGTTTGCTCTTTAACCCTTGACAGGACACATAGTCCTCCAAAGCCTACAAAATAAGGCCCAGATGTTTCCTTATCACAGTAAGGGTATACCACATTGCTTCAGAAACTCAAGCCTCAGAAAAAACTTAACCAAACAACAGGGGAAAAGAATAGAATATCATGAATACTAAAAGACGTAAAATGAATAGGCTAGATTACAAACTCTTAGTGTGCTTGCAAGAGCTCTCCCAAGTTTCACTTGTTTCTAAGCCTCTTTTCAAGAAAACATTTTTTTTCCACTGAAATTGATTACATTATAGCATGAGTCTCTTTGCAAATT